CAAGAAGCTCAGGAAGAGATTTTGTTGGGTGGACCAACCCCTTTGTAGGTCAGGTCTTACACCCATCTCCTGTACAAAGCTCAAGATCCATTCAGTGCAGGCAGACAGTTCTTGTTCCTAAATAAAATTTGATGCACTGAGATTTACTGTTGAAAATTGCAGGAAAACAAAACTTGACGGTAGGACCAGTCTTTACTTCACAGATCAAGAGGCTCAGGAAGAGATTTTGTTGGGTGAACTAACCTCTTTGTAGGTCAGGTCTTACACCCATCTCCTGTACAAAGCTCAAGATCTATTCACAGATGTACATGTAGACAGTCCTGGTTCTTAAACAAATTTTCATGCACTGAGATCTACAGTTGAAAATTGCATGGAAAAAAACAAACAAAAAAAAACCTGAAGGTACAACCAGTCTTTGCTTCACAGATCAAGAAGCTCAGAAAGAGATTTTGTTGGGTGGACCAACCCCTTTGTAGGTCAGGTCTTACACCCATCTCCTGTACAAAGCTCAAGATCCATTCCATGCATGTACATGTAGACAGTCCTGGTTCTTAAACAAATTTTTATACATTGAGATCTACAGTTGAAAATTGCATAGAAAAAAAAAAACAAACAAAACACTTGAAGGTAGGACCAGTATTTGCTTCACAGATCAAGAAGCTCAGGAAGAGATTTTGTTGGGTGGACCAACCCCTTTGTAGGTCAGGTCTTACACCCATCTCCTGTACAAAGCTCAAGATCCACTCAGCACATGTACATGTAGATAGTCCTGTTTCCTATACAAATTTTTATGCACTTAGATTTACTGTTGAAAACTGCATGAAGAAAAAAAAGAACTTGAGTGTAGGAGCAGAATTTGCTTCACAGATCAAAAAGCTCAGGAAGAGATTTTGTTGGGTGGACCAACCCCTTTGTAGGTCAGGTCTTACACCCATCTCCTGTACAAAGCTCAAGATCCATTCCATGCATGTACATGTAGACAGTCCTGGTTCTTAAACAAATTTTTATACATTGAGATCTACAGTTGAAAATTGCATAGAAAAAAACAAACAAAAAGCTTGAAGGTAGGACCAGTCTTTGCTTCACAGATCAAGAAGCTCAGGAAGCTGGGTGGACCAAGACCTTTGTAGGTCAGGTATTCCAACAATCTCCTGTACAAAGCTCAAGATCTATCCACCACATGTACAAGTAGACAGTCCTGGCTCTTAAACAATTTTTTATGCACTGAGATTTACTGTTGAAAATTGCAGTAAAAAAAAAAACACTTGAAGGTAGGACCAGTCTTTGCTTCACAGATCAAGAAGCTCAGGAAGAGAGTTTGTTGGATGGACCAACCTTTTTGTAGGTCAGGTCTTGCACCCATATCCTGTACACTCATTACATACTAAGTGAAAGAGGGACTACTCTCATTCTTACATCACCCAGGATAGTTTTGCAAGTTTGACTCGGCTTTCTCAAAAGATGAGCATTATATTTTCAGAAATAAATAATACTTAACTGAGCTACCGGTAATAGAATGGAAAAGTATATGTGATTTACTTGGCTTTTCCTCATTTCTGTTCTCTCATTTTCCTTTCTTCAAACATTAGTTGCCATGGGGTAAAACTTCCAATGTAGCAGCTTCACGACCTTAGAACAAGCAATAAACTTAATGAAGAAACTGCAGCTGTGTATAGTACATTTAATCCTTAAAAAGTTTTAAACTTTTTTGTACTTACTTCTCAGGTTTCCAATGACTGAGACATTCCAGATTGAACACCCTTCATCTCCAACTCTGAAGTTATGTAAAATGCACAGAAAAAAACGTTCACCAAAAATATTTCCAGAATCAAGTGTCCAGTATTAAACAGCAGAATAGATGAAAAACATATTTACTTACAGTGTTAACAACACTCTTGGAATGACTTTCAAAATGAAACAAAGTTAGATGAAGGTGAATGAAGGTGAACAAAGTTTGATGAAAGCAAATGAAGGTGAATGAGGACGTGAAGGAGAATGAAAGTGGATATAGTTAGATAAAGGGAAATAAAGGTGAACAATGTTAGATTTAGGAGAATGAGGTTAGACGAGGGAGAATGAAGGTGGATGAAGTTAGATCAAGGCAAATAAAAGTGAATGAAGACAGATGAAGGAGAATGAAAGTGGATATGTAATATATCAAAGACAAAAGACCGTTTATGACCACATTTCCAAACACCAAGAAGAGAGTTGAAAATACGACGCGCAGCAGAGTATTTTTGATGAACTTTGAGATGTTTGGAAACGTGGTCAAACACTGTCTTGAGTGTTTGATATACCTTCTCAACTGAAAGTAACACTAGGGAGAAAACAGTAAAATAAAATCGTTAAAATCTATGCCAATTAAGATCAGATATCCAAACACTGTCATGGTTATGATTTCCTTTGTTTAAACTTAATGAATTGTTAATGAGTTTGAGAAAGTTAGATCAAGGCACAAAGGTGGTTAAAGTTAGATGAAGGCAATAATATTATAAAGGTGGGTGAAATTAAATAACTGCAAATAAAGGTGAACAAAGTTAGATGAGGGCAAATAAAGGTGAATGAAGTTAGATGAAGGCAAATAAAGGTGAATGAAAATAGATGAAGGGAAATAAAGGTGAGTGAAGTTAGATGAAGGCAACTGAAGATGAGTGAAGTTAGATGAAGGCTAATGAAGATGACCAAAGTTAGATGGAGGAGAATTAAGGTGAGTGAAGTAAGATGAATGGGAATGAAGATGATTATGATTATGGTGTTTATAAGTAGAGCTGGTTGCTGATGAGAGTAATAATAGGACTTGTATGGTGCAAATTCAACATAGGTCTTCCAATAAGCCTCACAAAATTATCGAAATTAATAAAATAGAATAGATAAATAAATAAATAAACATGTCAAATAAATAAATAACATAACATAACATAACATAAAAATCGAAATCTAACAAGAAGAAAATTAACTGTTTATGTCCCAGAGGCACAAAAAACAAAACCTCTTGGAAGATGAATGATACAAAACCCACACGTGAAGTATATAAACTGCTTAGATGTATAAAGTTGTGGTACCACAACCCTGACGTTACTAATCGAGTCATTCGGTAGTCGAACTCAATTGAACTCAATCGAAATAAATTGAACGATTGGGTTCGATTAGTTCAATAATCAAACAAAATTAAATCCAAAACTTTGTGTGAGAGAGTTAAATTGCGTTCAATTTCCAAACTAATCAAACCCAATCGAACTTTATCGAACACAATAGAAAAATCTTAAATTCACCCTGACACAACCAGATAATTGAACAGTCTGTCTAAGAAAGAATATAAAGCTCTCTGCACGCATTGCAGGCCTATGATGAGGGAGCATAATTACAAATGAATAATTAACTAGTAATATTTTTATTGATGTATTGTATAGATTGTTGGCATGGAAAATACATTGAAAGAATAAACTGTCTGTAAAATTGCAAAGAAAATCCCGAAACGTAAAGTTCAATGGACAATAGAAAATTAATCTTACTTCACTGTAGTCTTATTTCATGTTACGATTTGTTTTTATCAACCTACAGAGTCCCAAGTCGTCTGTGTCATCATCTTCATATCCACAGAGGTGCTTAGTAAAAACAATATAATGATCAATATCTTTAGCAAGCGATGCCGTCTAGAATCAAATAAATAACTTGAAAATGACATTCTGTTTTAAGGACACTGTTGAGCAACTGCTCTGAACCATCTGCTAAGTCCTTTCCCAGTCTGTCTGCTTTGATCGATGTTCCCTGTTCGGTGACTTCCTGTGTTATGGTTGCTTGCAATCAGGGCTCGACACTGACTTTTCAACTTACTAGCCTAGTGGCTAGTGACAACTTAGATGTTACTTTCCAAAAAAAAATTTTACTAGCCAAGTGTTGATGTTGGCTAGGTCCATTAACAGCAGAATTACTAGCAAGACTTGAAAGCACAATGCAAGCGACTCTGTTTAATACATATTGTTGACAATTACATTGTACTTAAACCAGTTCCAATAATAAAACAACAAGATATGTTATATTTGGACGTTTCAGACTTACGCCTTCTTCCTGAGCAGGTTGTTTCTTTTCAGAACTCTCATTTTTTGGCTTTTTCTTTTCTACTGCTGGTAAAAAAACCTCTTCTTTCCATTTATGGAATTTTAAGAAAAACAAAACAATGCAATTTTGCATCTGAAACCTCTTGACCAGTTGACATATAGTCAGCACATCTTGTGTCACGCTTGATTAGTAACGTTAAATACTAGGGCAAACCAATTTATCACCGAATTACACCAGTTTTAATTTTGTTTCACTGCCTCATGTTTTCCTCACATCAAATCTCTCAGGCCAACAGATCACGGAGAAAAATACAGCAATTTTCCCGAAAAGACATTCAGGACTCTGTTTTTCTTTGAGACTTCCTTGGAAAAATATCGAGACCCCAAGACATCATTGTAAGAACTGTTGAGATTTCTTCAGTCTCTTCACAGACAGGAGCTGTAGAATTCTAACTGTTTCAAAAGTAGCGTTAGCAAAACTCGACTGCTAATAAATGTCAAAGGAAATAAGTCTTTCTCATGTAATTACATGTATTTCTGCAGTGGTATAAGTTTTATCAGTATGGAAACAATGACAAATCACCTATGTGTTGTTACGCTAAATGAAATGTTATCCCTTTACATTTTGGCATGATTTTGCACATGATTTTATCAGGATGCTCACGTTTTGTTCTACTAATTTTGTAACAAAAAAAGAAGATTGATGTGTGCTTTCAGAAAATGTTGTCTTGTTTGTCAGTATTTCTTCTAATATAATAACATGCTCATTTTTTGTACCCCTTCAAGTGCCACACAGTGAAAAGTAAACATGATACATCCACAATGAAATTCTGACCTTGTTTCCGAGTAAAGTGTTAGTGTTTGACTTCCTCGAGGAAGACAGAAACTAGTTCGGCCAATTTCATTTTGTTTACTAGCCAAAGTGGCTAGTGGCTAGTGGAAGTCAAAAACATACTAGTCAAAACTAAATTTCTACTAGTCTGTGGCTAGTTGGCTACCGTTAGTGTCGAACCCTGTGCAATTATTATTCGCATACAACATACCCCCATTTCCAGCCGAATGTAATAGACCGTGAATTTTAGGACCGTTGTTTTTCAGTCAGTATCCATCCTCAAATTGAACCTAATTGATCCCAATCATACTAATCAAATTTGATCGAGCCCAATCGCACTCACTCAAACGTTCGATTACGTTTGATTAGTCAAATTTTTTTGTGAGAACTCGATTGTGTTCGATTACCAAACTCAATCGAACCCAATCGCGTGATTGTGCTCGATTAAGTTCGAATGAGTTCGATTTGGTTCGATTAATTCGGGCACAACAAAACACAACATTAGGTATTATTAGCCTTTTTGACATAACTTGTTATTTCGCACAAAAGGACATGATCACAGAGAATTGTCTCAAAAGATCTTTCAAGGAGTTGGAATTTTTATTTTGGTACTCTTAAAACTCAAACAAAGAATACTCTTCGATTTTTCTGTTCAAAACACCACGCACGTGCCAGATGTAAGAATTTGAATTTCCCGCGAGTACAAAGACCAAGTAAATACTTACCTGGGAAATAAATAGCAAAACGGAAAAAAAAAACAAAACAAAACAAAACAAAAATGTTTCGAAAACAGTAGTTTTAATGATTATCCTTACCTCTGGTAGGAGTCCGGCAATAGCTGGGAATTGTCAGATCGATGTTGTCGGTGAGCGGCCGGTGTTTAAAACTTTTAGTGTTTTGCAGCCGTTGCAGCTATTTTCCTTTCACGTAATCCAAAAACACGAAGTTAAAAACATTTCAAAATTCCAGTTGTGGTGTTTGCGGAACAAACAGAGACTGGATTTGACAACACAACGTTTTAATCCGCCATTCTAGATGGTCTCTTCTATTCAAGCACATGGTCACTTCCAAATAAGGAAATACCATATATGGACATACACTACATCCCTCCCTAACTTAATAAAGAGCTCCACAAAGTCTAATAAAAAAA